CCTGTCATCGCAGTTTTTAAGGCTAAAGCACCCTGAATGAAATTTGCTGAACCATCGTTGACACTTATGAACGTTCAAAACATTTCCATAAACTTCTTTGATATTCTTTGTGGCTACAGAGACGTTGTTTCCCTTCTTGTATTCAAACAGCATTACATGACGAATGTGTGTCTCATCGTGTGCCATCACTATAAGGGATTAGAGCATACTAAACTTTACACATTATATAGGCTACACTAACATGACGTTTAGGTGGTTCATTTAACTAATATACATGATGTACACTTTTTGGGAGGTGGTTAATGAAAGTGTTTCAAAATGCAACATTAATTTCTTGATGACCTAATTTTATGTATCATGAATGTTTTGAAAGTAAAAAATTGTGACACAGTTAAAAATAATCAACTTATACCTACTCACATTACTTTTCAAATAAATTATGCCAAAGACTTTTTTTTGCATGTGTATGAAAACTATTTTTAATAATCTTTATAATGGAAGTTGATAATGGAACATGTTCACAACTCACATTTACATTCTGTCATTCTACGCATCAAGGCACTAAACATGAAGATCAAATGTTATTTATATTCATTTATGTATTTAAGCAATACATATCCATATAAGAAGAGAGAAATAGCTTATTTCATCCTGAAAATTATTGCTACTTATAAAAAAAATGTTTCCTTATTTGTTTTGGTGGAAAACACTATTCTGAAATACTTCACTTAGGAAAAAAAAAAAAGACACTCATGAAGTGTTGTAGGAAAGTACACTATTTTGATCAGTTTGATTTCAACAATAATTTATCAATATGGAATTCTTTCTTCTTTAATAAACTAAAGCCTGGTACTAGTTGAACAGTGTCATAACTAGGAATCCCTGCTTGATTTTCATCTGAAACGAAATTAATTAATAATACTGTTTAGAAAAATCTGTTTATTCTGTTTCTAGTACCAATGAATGTTACTGACAAGCCTTCAATTTCATATAAACTCACAGAGAAACTTAAGAATGGTCCAAGTGAAAGCAGGCCTCTATACAGTGAAAATGTAATTACCTTTTATGTATATACAGTCATATTACTTTAGTTTTAAATATATGTGTCAATTCTCTTGGAAAAAAATCATTAGATATATTTTAACATGTAATTAATATAAAATGTTTAATTATCCTCAATTTATTTTTTTAATACAGTTAATATATAATAAATATAATTACTCCATTGCTACTTTATTTTCCTCACCTGGAAGATACAATCATTTGAGACAGCAGTCAAAATAAATCTGGGTATTAAAAGTTAAGAATTAACGTATATGTTATTTTCACCACAAATCTATGTCTCTTAAATCGTAAAATTAAACGTTTTTTTTTTTTTTTTGGTGTTCTGTTGCTTCGATTATCATAGTCCAGTTGTTCTTTTAAATCCCAAAGAATGGTTTTCTCGTATACTTATAAAATGCTTAGATTAATCACATGGATTATTTAGACACTTCCAGAAGGAGACAGTTCATATTTTTATCACAAAGTGATACATACAATCATGATATTGTTTTAGTAAAACAAATAAAAAAGAGTAATAAGTTGATAGCAGTTTTATTGTTGGATGGTACAATCAAGTTAAAATTTAGATTATTTAGGATGTCTCTGTTCAACATCGATGGTAACTTTAAATCCAACTATTTGTCTAAGCCATATTTTCATTGGCTGTGTTTTCACTAGATATTTGATAGGAATAGTAAAAATCTTGTTAATCCATTATCTTGCATCGTTAATTAGATGACGAGGCATTTGGCTACCTTAATAGAAGCATAATTAATAAAGATTTTACACAGGTTGTTTACAAAGGCATCGTTGAATCTAGATAATTATATGTATATATTTTTTTTTAATTTGGAAGAAGTGAACCTCACTCTTTAATGATTGTTTAAAAGGTTTGAATGATTGTTGAACAAAATAGTACTTATTTCTATCAGTAATAGACCTTTACAAACCCTAACTAATGTGTATAGTAGAGTGTCGTATTAACCCTCTAATTACCAACTTGTTTTAGACCTTTTACTATTGGTCAGAACCACATATTTCATCGTATTTGATTATTTTGTGTTTTCCCTCTCACTACATTTATTGTAAAGAACTTTCAAAATGTTCATTTGATTAGGATTTTTCTCATTTTAGTAAAGTATAACTGATGATATAATTAGGTTTATCCCACCTTTTAATTAAGTATGAACTGATGACATGGTTAGGATTATTTCACATTTTAATTAAGTACAGCCAATGATATAATCAGGAATATTCCATGTTTTGATTAAGTATGACTGATAATATAATTAGAATTATTTAACATTTTAATCAAGTATGACTAATGATATGATTAGGATTATTCCAATTTTAATGAACTATGACTAATGATATGATTAGGATTATTCCAATTTTAATGAACTATGACTAATGATATGATTAGGATTATTCCAGTTTTAATGAACTATGACTAATGATATGATTAGGATTATTCCAGTTTTAATGAACTATGACTAATATGATTAGGATTATTCCAGTTTTAATGAACTATGACTAATGATATGATTAGGATTATTCCAGTTTTAATGAACTATGACTAATATGATTAGGATTATTCCAGTTTTAATGAACTATGACTAATGATATGATTAGCATTATTATACCCTTTAAAACTGATTATATGATTGAAATCATTCCACATGTTTTGTTATTATTAATATTGAGTTTTGTTTCTTTACTTATTCTGTATCATCATGACGTTTACTACTTTAAGTGACACTGAATATAAATATTTTCTTGTTTTGCAGAAAGAGGTATGAAACCAGGATGAAAACGATGAGAAGCTATAAGAAGGTTGTATGTAAAAACCGATAAGAAGATGCTCAAGAGTTCTGAAAAAGTAATGTATAAAAGATTCTGATCATCTGACAAAAAAAGATTGGGATATTGTATAATGTTGTGTATAGTATCTCAAGCGGTGTTCCTCTATAGACGTGTCTGTTAATCAGATACAAATCAACAGTGTGAAGAAATCCATTTTTGTTGTGATCAGTTTTTGGTTGTGCCATAAAGATATCCTAAGACACTGTACAGAGGTTGTTTAGAAAGGTGTTGTTGAATCTAGACAATTATAAAACTTATGTAAAGTGCAGAAGGTGAGCAATTACTCCATAGGAAATCTCTCACTCCTTTGACAGTTGTTAAGCCTCTCTGAAAACAGAGAACTTATTTCTGTCAGTGTTTATGATAAATGTATGTTAAAGGCCAACAGTGTGTAAAGCTAATGTCTATCTAGTGATCGATAATGACATGTCTGAAACGTTCAGATGATAAGTGTGCTCAAATTTATGGAATAGTTTCAATTGGGATCTCAGACGATAAAGAACAACATTGGTGTCAGTATCAGAAAACTCGAGACTTTATGTAAATATTATATTGATGTTGTCACAATTGGTAAGAATTTAAAAAAAAAGCATTTATGAATAGCATCAGAATATTGTATTCTGGTGTTTGTTCAATTTTTCATTATTAAATAAATGTCAAGACACTGAGCAAGATCAGGAAAGTAAACAACAGACAAAAATATCAGTTATTTATGTGCTTATGTTGAACATAACTTCAAAAACACCCCAGCAATACAATAAAATTAATCCTTTTACAAAGTGTCTGTGTGTAAACAAATTCGTATGAATGTGTGTGTGTATAATGTAACAAGTAAATACTGTAAAAGGCATTCTTTTAATTCCATTCTGACTGCTTGAATGATAATAAATTAACGACACTCTTATGTTCATTTATGAATTAGTTGGTAGAAAATTAGTTAACTCGTAATAAAAAATCCATATTATACATCTAAATTTAGAATCATAGTTATAATGTGCAGGTCTACAACACAGAGTTATTTTTATTGTATGAAGCTGTTCAGAAATCTGTAATTCAGTTTTTTGTTTAAGTATGAATATATTCCAACATGAATGACATTATCTCAACTTAAAAAAAAATGACAGCATGTGATGTTTCATAAATGTTTATTAAGAACATACTTAACTGCAGTGAACTGTAATGCCTTTTTAAATATAATAAAGTAGCAATTAAATTGTTATTCTGATTTAGAACACTGCATTAATTAAAGAGAGAGAAGATTTTTTTTACACTTTCTGGAATCACAAGAAAAAAAAAAGTGAATGTTCTCAATTTGAGAATTAATGTAATTTAACAATAATTATTTCTTTGGGGATAAACATGAGATCAATGTCAATACTTGTTGTCAGTTTCTGAAACTAGTAAATTTGACTACTGGATGTCAGGAAAGTAAATGTTTTCTGTTCTAAACAACTCTTTTACCATTCCAACCAAATGTGGTCGAGGTGGGCGATATATAACGATGACTTTGTTCCATTGTAATCGTCTACTGTCTGCACGATAACCACAAAATACACAAAAACAGCCATTCTGTTGGCTATTTCTAGATTAATTTATTCATTTCCTGGTAATGTGTAAAATGGTACAACAAAGTTATAAATGTTCAACCAATAAGCATTAAGTATAAGGTTGGTTTGTTATAAATTTTGCGCAAAGCTACTCGAGGACTATCTACACTTTCTATCTCTAATTTAGAAGTGACAGACTAGAGGAAAGACAGCTAGTCAACACCACTCACCGTCAACCATTAGGCTACGCTTTACCAATGAATAGTGGGATTGACCATCACTTTATAACCTCCACGGCTGAAAGGGAGATCACGTTCGGGAACAGGATTCAAATCCGTAGTTTTGAATCGGGCGCACTAACCACCAGACCCTGACTTTGTTGATAATTTTGAATATAATGTTAAGTACAATTTCTATGAGTAACAGTCATGTTGGTATGGAACAGAAAACGAGATGCCTGTGAATAAGGTTGAAATGTACAAGCATATTGAAGACCATTGGAAAGGTAGTTGGTGAGTTTCTTTTAGCGTTGTGCCTTCCACGGGAAATAAACCCAGAATTCTAGCATTACAAGCCCTGAAGCTTACTGCTGAGCCAATGGAGTATGAGGGCACACTCATCATTTCTATTAAGCAACTTACGATGAATATGGCACAATTAAACAAATTACACGAATCATAAAAAAAAAATATTTAAAGATGAAGAAACTAAAACAAACATTAATTTATCTTTCATGGGAGTCTTAAATGTTACAGAATACATTATAACTTTCGTTAAATATCATCTACAAATTAACGATGTTATTCTTCATATTTCTTATAAAAGAAACATATGCTTTTTGTGATTTATTTATTTCACCTATTCAGGTCAATGTTTTATTTTAATAGAAAATTTTTCATGCCACCATTTTGAATATGAAAATCAAGATGTGTTTCGTGATAAAAATGAAGATACGAAAACAAAGTTCCCAATAATTGGGTCAATGTCTATCGATATGTCATTCAACCTAATAAGGGCACAGGCCAAACAAAGTTTCAATAAATCGTTTTTAACTTGAGACATAATGGAAAATGACGTTGAGTTGAACGCGTTCTTCAAGGGGTCATCAGCCATTATCGAGATAAGTGCCAGAATATGGGCTACAGATGCATTTGCTATGTTAGTACTTTATTTAACGTGCGCCCTTATTTTTAACCCTCAAATTATCGACCGGCGAGTCCACATATTGATTGCATCATATTATAATATTTATTGTAAAAAATTGACCAATGGGTGGAATAAATTACTTTATGTAAAAAAACATAAGCAGTAACTAGAGGATTCAATTTCAGAGTGTGATCCGTCATACGTTAGAGTCGGTTACTTTTGCTTGGAGTACTTTCTTAAGTTGGAATGTATTAATATGGTAAATTACACGCTATTAATCAAAGGTATTTCTGATTTTGTTTCGGAAACAAATGAAATATTTCACGAATATAAATATTAAAGAAATACCAAAAATATCTGCTGCTGATCAGTTAGGCTTATCCATTTTATTTTTAAACTTAAAAACTAGTATCGAAATTGTGTTGTTCGATTCTGGGGAATTCATATCATTATTTTCCGAGTAAAATTTAACTACTGTAGTGTAAAAGTAATAATGGCTGTATTAGACAAAGAACGAGAAGAGATAGATCGATGGGTGAATGGACGGTCAGATGAAAAGATGCGCACGGATGTGTAAGTACTTATAAATGAAAGTCAGTCAAACTACAAGTTTAATGTGAAAAGGGTTAGGTAATTTTGATGCACAGTATTGAGTTAGGTGTTTTCATCATCTGGGTAACATCAAAGAACTTCCGAAGATATAAGTTAAAAGTGCAATCTAACTCAATATAAAAAGTTTAATGTAATGTGTAATATATAGTAACAGAAACTGTTAAGGACTGAGCCCTAGGCAACATCTTAAAATACGGGTCTCTGCGGAATTCCTGCACAATTATTATCGGCAAACGTATATATATATATAACATTAAATGACAGAATGTTATAATTTCAAATAAATTTTTACTTTCAAATGGCTATATGTGTCCTACTTTAACCCGCTTGAATTTAAAATATTTTTTATTTTCTTTAACTACATCGTTACGAAGTACCTCATCAAAATCTGTCATTTCTTAAGTTTAATAGAAGCTTGTTTTATGTTTAAATTACGTAAGTTACGGTGTCTGTGATCACATTTTACAGATCTATTAGACACGACAAAGGATGTAAAGCGAGCGCGAAATGTTCGATTCCACTGAAAACAGAATTAATGTAAAAAACTGTGATTGATTTTGACGCCTTAGATAACTACCTACCTTTTGGCTGCTTTGGTAAAGATTCGGCTTGGGTTCGCTTTTCCGCATTATTTATTTATTTTCTACATCAAATTTGGTATTATCAGAACGAGTTTCATTCAAACGGTACAAGATAACGCTAAAACTAAGACTATTAACAGCCCCTTGTGTAGATTTCCACTTAAAAACAAAACAAAAATATATCTTCGAAAATATCTCTATCTACAATCACGATGAGTAATTAATTACATTTAAAAAATTTTAATGCCACTTACAGTGTTCTGTAACAGAAATACTATTCATACCTTTTTAAATATATCTTCGAAAATAGCTCCACCTACAGTCACGATAAGTAATTAATTACATTTTTAATTTTTGTAATGCCACTTACAATGTTCTATAACAAAAATACTATTCATACCTTTTTAAATATATCTTCGAAAATAGCTCCACCTGGAGTCACGATGAGTAATTAATTAAATTTTTAATTTTTGTAGTGCCACTTACAATGTTCTATAACAAAAATACTATTCATACCTTTTTAAATATATCTTCGAAAATAGCTCCACCTACAATCACGATGAGTAATTAATTACATTTTCAATTTTTGTAATGCTACTTACAATGTTCTGTAACAAAAATACTATTTATACCCTTTTTAATAAATCTTATGAAATAACTCCACCTGCAGTCATGATTAGTAATTACAATGAAATAGCGTGTTTTCATAGAGATATACAAGCTATATCTTTAAATAAATTAATCCATAAATATATATGTATAATTGCAGGATTTGAAGACAGAAGTTTTATTCTCTTAGCACTATTTTCCTTATACTTGCGTAGTTTAGAGCCAAGAGTTTAATTCGGTTGGTATTCTTTTCCTATTACTACAACGTTTGCAGTGAATTGCTTAATTGTCCAGGAAAGACGCCGGGCGAAAAGGAATTTTTGGTTTTTGTGAAGATTATCAGCAATATTTTAATACATTCGGTGAGTCAGTATTTTATAATACAACTGACTGACACCATCATGTTTTTATTGATGTTAATGTATTCATTGAGTCAGTATTATATAATACAACTGACTGACACCGTCATGTTTTTATTGATGTTGGTGTATTCATTGAGTCAGTATTATATAATACAACTGACTGACACCGTCATGTTTTTATTGATGTTGGTGTATTCATTGAGTCAGTATTATATAATATAACTGAATGACACCGTCATGTTTTTATTGATGTTGGTGTATTCATTGAGTCAGTATTATATAATACAACTGACTGACACCATCATGTTTTTATTTATGTTAACGTATTCATTGAGTCAGTATTATATAATACAACTGACTGACACCATCATGTATTTATTGATGTTAACGTATTCATTGAGTCAGTATTATATAATACAACTGACTGACGCCATCATGTTTTTATTGATACTGGTGTATTCATTGAATCAGTATTATAAAATACAACTGACTGACACCGTCACGTTTTTATTGATACTGGTGTATTCCTTGAGTCAATATTACAAAATACAAGTGACTGACACCGTCACGTTTTTATTTATACTAGTGTATCTTTTGAGTCAATATTACAAAATACAACTGACTAATACCATCACGTTTTTATTGCTGCCTTGGTATACATATAAGCAAGAAATTATAAGCAGACATACAGTAATTATTCGACAAATTGGAAATATTTCTTTGAAACTTGGACAACAGGTAAATTATGAATCAAATAACTACGTTCTGTAGGTAAATTAAAATGTTTTATTAAAATCATAAACCGAAACGTTTTGACTAAAGTGGAACATTTTTACTGACACTGTAGTTTTTTAAGTTATATCTCACATCGTTAATATTCATGTATCAGTCTTTCGAATACATTATGTTAGTGGTAATAAATTCAAGATAAGCTTGTTTGGAATACGATTTGTGGGTAACATACTTTTCACCGTATCCAAGTGTGTAATGTTTGGAACAGGAGGTTTATGTATATTAACAGTTTTATTAGTCTTAGTGTTTTCGGTGTTAAACTCTCCTCTTCATTCAACCTATATTTGCTTTTAAACTGTTTGTTGTTTTTATAAATAAAAACAAACAAACTGTAAGAGGTACTTACTCCAACGTGTAAACAATGTTGGTCAACAAATGTTTCATAGAATTACTAGCAATAACTGAACCAGGTATTTTTTCTGTTATGATAAACTTTTTAGTGGTTTTATATTTAATCCCTCAAGCGACTATAAGTAACATTTGCAGTTTAATAAATTGCGTTAGGTTTCTATTTTCTAAACCTACCAACAAGTTTTCACCTGATTCAACGAACTATATTACCCTTCGTATTTAATT